CTCTTTGAAACAAGGTCTATTTTTCTCACACTGGTTGCTCTCTACTGGATCAGATGAAGGCAGCTTGAGGTCCACCATCTTGCCCGGAAGTTTGGAATCCATCTATTTGGTAGATCATAGAGATAAAGATATCAGACACAAGAGGTATATTGATGGTACATATTTACACAGGAGTTTTCAGAGACAGAAACTTGAAAGCAAGAGGTCAAGAATTCATTCTTCTGTAAGAAGTCTCTACTTTTAGGAGCTAGAAAATGGAAATGTTGTTTTGAAAATCTGGGTCCACTTTTGAAACACAATGATGATGGGAAGGAATTTGGACTGGGGTTGTAGACATCTGGATGCTGTTTCTAACCCTGTCATCTGATCTGGGTAGAGCCACAGAAACCTCTGGGTGACAATGAGAGAGAGGACTGGATGTGCTATGATGACAAGCTACTTTGCTTAGCTGCCCTGTTAGTTTTAAAAAGCCAATGCTTTGTAACAATATGAAGGCAGAAAGGTGCCATCATGCCAGGGCTCTTGATTTGCTGACAATGCTGGCAGAAGTCCTTCAGGTGCCTCCTGCACAGGACATACTGCAGACTCATCACTCTAGGTGTCTACATGGTACTGTGGATGCTCTGTGTGGCCAAAGTCAAAAAGCATAGGGTTTGCCAACCTCAGCTTGACCCTCTTAAACCTACTGAAGTGTGACTTAGGCGATGTAAAACAAATGTGTTGACTGGAAGACCATCAAGATTCTGAGTTTCTTGCTCAACAAGGAGGTAAGCAGGAAGAGAAATTTGTTTTAATTCATTTAGTCTCCAGTAGAGATTATTTAAGCCAGAGCATGACGGGTACTGATGCACAATAGAGGCTTTGAACACTGATGTCACTTCAGAGTGTCATGAAAAGATATAGAACTAAGACCAGAAGGTCTGATCTCTGATCCTGCATTTGAGTGTCACTTGTGGAGATTATTTAACATCTTAGGATCTGTTTCCTCTCTAAAGTAAGTTTCCAGTGAATAATTTTCTTCTTTTCTCTGAGGAACAGTAAACTCACATTCCATGTGATCTCACAACTTTATGAGATAGGCCACTGGGCTTCTTGGATGCAAAACCACATCTGAGAAACAGATCAAGTAAATTTTTAACATATCCAACTTTGACGGGACTTCAGAGAGACAAAGAGTATAATGGGCAACATTCTGCATTGGGGTTCCACTTAAGCCAGAGCTTTTGCTGTGTGTGAGAGGATGACTTGTGTAGAGAAACCAGTGATTATAAGATCTCAGAGTCTTAACTATAGTTCATCTTTTCCTCAGGACTTCTATGTTCAGGTTTCAAGGTCTTAATATTTCAAATTGATAAAGTATAGTCAGATCCAAAGGTAATTGGTAATTGAGTATTTTCAGTTCTCATGGGAAGTTTAATCATCTATGCAATCTTATGACCTAATGTCATGACCATATATGTTATGACCATATATGGACCTCAGCCTTCATTCTTCCCATGTAGCCCATTTATGAGCAGGCCTCGTTAAATGTCCTATAAAAATCTCTTTCACCGAAGCAGGTGTCTTGCCTTTATATGGTCAGATCATGACCATAACCCTTTTTAAAAATGCTCGCTATTACATAATCTCATGTATAAATCACATTTGATACATCACTCCTATTGATGGTTTCATTTGTTCACGCCCACCGTTGTTTTCTCTGACAGCTGTAGGTCAAATGACATTTTCATTTTAACGAGGGATCACTTAGGTTCACAAGTAGAGAAGCGACCTCAGCCATAATCATTTCCATTTTTTATTATCAATGAGTGAACTGATGAGCTCTGCTGTTCAAAAGCCATCCTTGCTCAGGGCTAGTGTACATTTTCAAATGCCCTAATAGCTAAATGGTGTCACAGCACAGGCAATTCCTCAGAAAGAAAATACACACACTGTGCATGATTGATCTCTCTGCTGTGAAATGACACAAATGATTAGAACATACATAATTGAATACTTTGTAGAGTGTCATGTGGCTTTATTGATGGTCTTGATAAGTATGAAGCATCCAAGAAGACCTTAGACATATGAGATGAACACAGAGAGCGGGGAGAGAAAGAATGTATCCACAAGGCAAAGATTTCTACATGAAACAAGGACATGGGGACACAGGAAGAGAGATGTTTAACTGCAGGCCAGTAGAGTGCCTCCAAGTGGGCTTTATTTCCTGCAAATTTAAATTTCTGCCCTTAGGCTCCCAGCTCAATGCCATCCCCTTCAGAGAAGTCATTGTCAAGCTATATACCAACCCCATTCATGTTACGCAGAAATCTAATCATTTCTAGAACTTCTATAATTGCCTTCAGAAATGGACACTTCCTTTTAAATATTTTAATAGTAGTTTAGATAAAGGCAGAATAATTTATAGCCATGCGTGGTGAAGAAGTGGGTACTTAAGCTGATCATTTATTTCCCCCTCCTCCTTCCTCCATTCTGTCTCTCCTCTTTCTTTTCCTTATTTTCCTCTCCTTTGTTCTTCTCTCTCATCTTTTCTTCTTTAAAAACAAAATGGGATGAAACTATTTTTTTGTTGTTGTTGTGTAATCTTTTTATAAAAATGTTCAGAAATAATTCCAAGTAGTTCAGTACTACTATAGGAAGAACATATTTTTCAAGTTCATGATGGCGGATGCTTCTACTGTAGTTCGTTGGTTTAAAATGCTGGTTTTGTAATTATATTCCTTAGACTGAATACTGTAGGGATTTGGGTTGTACTTAGAATTAGTGCCAGCTACAGGAAACTTGAATGTTATCTTCAAAGTAGCAATAAACTTGGGGAAGCTGCACCGACTGAGCTGAGAGGTAAGAATCAGAGCAAGGAATGAAGAAGATGCTGTGTGTGACCCGATTTGGATCAGGGTTGCGACACTTGACTGATTGAAGGCTCTCCAAAAGATGAGGAACTTGAGGCCACCACATATGATGAACACATAAAGAAATGGGATGCTAAATCCCATGTTGTTGTGAGAACAGGGATGCTGTGGAAGAAAGGCTATGGGACTTAGGACTCCTTAACTATGATTTCTGATTAAAAAAAACTAGTAAGATAATATTGAGCAAATAAGTTAATGTTTCACTTTCCTAACCCATAAAACTAAAATGATAGAAGCAAGTGAGCTTAAATTTTCTTCACAGGTTAAGATGAGTTTTTATAAAGGATGTTTGATACATGTCTTCAAATATTTGAAGAATGCCTAGATCAAAGAAGGGCTAGACTAAGACCATAAAATACCACAAGAAGAAACAAGTTTTCAAGAGTTGTACAGAGCTGGAAATCAGTTTTAAATAAGACAGACTCATTAGATGGCATGTTGAAGGTGGAAGACACCATGGCAAGTGCCTCAACTGATAGGAATATTCAAAAGAAGCCTAGAGGTCCAAGTCAATGAGACGGTGGAAAGAAAGCATCAAATGAAAGAAGCGACAACCTAGCTGACCTGAAAAGTCTAGCTCAAACTTCTAGGATTGTCTATTCTTTAGGAATCTTCTGTGCTCACAGCTGTACCTCTAAAGCTGCATATGATAGTCATGGCAAGCTTGCCAATCCCAGAGAGTCCTAGAATGAAATCCACCCCCCCCCAGGTGTTTATGCTACATAGACATCTTTACAGTTGCCAGAAGGATCTACTTTTCTGTAACCGTGTTTAAGCTAACATAACCTGCAACTGGCAACTGTTGTTCTTCTATATTCTCTAGAACTCTATGTTCTCAAGAAGAGAGGATGGAAGCCTGTCCTCTGAGCCATTGCCTCCACTGCTTTGTGAGATGCCTAGTTTGTTCCTTCTCAGAGACTCATCTCACAAACAGAATCAGACCCAAAATTCTGGAGTAGCATATCATGTAGCACAGAACTTCATTATTGATTCTGTGGGCCTATATGGGAAAGGGACGTTAATTACCATCAGCCCAAGTTACACTAATGCATTTGTAATGAGCAGGCCTGTGGGAATTCCCAGCTGCTTCTTAGCTCCAGTGGCTAGCAATGGACAGGGTGGGCTGGGGATGAATGTCCTGCAGGAAAACCATTTCATTAGTCTGATATCAGTCGCTTCCAGAATTTTCACTGATTTATGCTTTTGTCCTCACAGCACTGTATGAAACACACAACCACCCCCTTTTCTCACACTCACAGTGCATCCAGCACAAGTCCTGGGTTCTAGATGCTTCTGGCCTGCCATGCTCACTAGTCTTACAAATAAGGACTGAGCAAGACCTTAGTAAGAATTTAAAGAATGTGCATATTTGGGGGTGGAGACAGACCCTAAGCGCCTACGTGCTACCTTTCTTGGCAGAAAGTTGTCTTGATACATAGCCATTTTCTTTTCTTGTCTCTAGCTCCTCCACCCCTTGATTCCGCCTCCTTTTTTGAATAATGATTGTTAACACTTAATGAGCACTTACTATGCACCAGGCCCTATGGCAAGCGCTTAACCTAGTTGTCTCATTTAAGCTTGCAGACTTAATTAGGTGATCTTTTTATTACCAGACTTTTTGCAGATGGGAGGAAAGGAAACAGGCTTAAAAGTGTGAGGGCTGGAGAGATGACTCAGCAGGTGAGAAGCCCTGAGTTTGGTCCTAGAACCTATTTTGGGTAGCTCACAAAGCATCTGTAACTACAGCATCAGGGGACCCAGTGCCTCCTTCTGGCTTCTGCGGTCACCTGCACTCACTTGCGTTTACCCCAACACAGACAAATATGCATGCATATAATTTGAATTAAAATAAATCTTTTACTTAATTATTTGGTACTGAGCCATACTTATTTTAAATTTTATTATTCTTTTCACATGATTCCTATTGTAAAATCTTGACGGTGGGTATTGTATAATCAGTAGGAATTTGAAGAGTGTCAGTTGAATCTGTGTTCCTACCCTCTGGTCTGTCTTTTTGTCAACCTAAGTGCCTTCTGCTTTCAAATCCTTTTTTATATTTTTAATCTTCCTTTAATTTTGTCGTTACAGGTATCTGATCAATGTTACTTTTGAAGGGAGAAACCTGTCCTTCAGTGAAGATGGCTACCAGATGCATCCGAAGCTGGTGATAATCCTTCTGAACAAGGAGAGGAAGTGGGAGAGGGTAGGACATGACTTTGGTAATCCTTGAGCTAAGTAGAGAGGCAGGTGTTGGATCCCAACCTAACAGCAGGAATACACAATTTTTCAATGTCTTAAAGGAAAACAGCCTCTTGGTTTTCTAGGCATCAGAGACAAGATGCTGGAGCTCTGAGAGTCTGGGAGAAGCCAGGCCTCAAGCAAGCATTCTTTTCATTCTCTTGCTACTTCAGCTACCCACGAGGTTGTTTTCTTTATGTTCTGATTGCTGTCTATCGGTGGTTGCATAACTCATGTCTGCTTTAATGGGAGATGATACATATGCAAAGCAACAACTTTCCTGAAGAATCTAACTAGGCAGTACCAGTTAGAGCTTCTATTTTATGGTGCTGGAGGAAGCCAATAAACCTAGCGTACAAGCAGAAGGGTTAACAATGTTTGCTGTGACTGAAAATTGATACACAGGGCTCTACTCAGAATCTGTCCTGCTACCAGTTGACCATTGGCTTTGAAATTCTGCCTTTAGACATTAATTCCTGTTGGCACCCCTGCTTTCCTATTTAGGACACGGGGGCAGGGCAGAGATAGGTTTAGGTGGGGGAAGAAAAGTATTTTAGCTACTCAGTCTTTCACTTTCTGTACCAATAAAATGGGAATTGGTATATTGGCATTTATAAAATACTTGGAGCAGTACCTGATATACAGTAAGCACTCAGTAATCATTGGTTTTAGTTATGATTCTAGATCTTAGGTTAAATACCCAAGAGTAATCATTAGGCTTTTTGGAGGTATATCCTTTTGGCATTTGTCCCCTGATACACTGTGACATATGGTTCTGAAAATAAAATAAATAAGACTGGGAAATACTTACTGCTCTTCAGTCCAGGGAATTTCAGAATATATTAGCAGTTGAAAAGTTCAGATGTGTCTTAGAACAAAGAGGCGTCTTTAATTTTATTTAACATGACTTTTCCCAAAATACTCTTATCATGAGACCACTCTGTTCATAATAATATTATTTCATGAAAATCACCCTGAGTAACTGTTTTAAGACCATTTCCTTGGTTGCTGTGGGCCAATTGGCTGAAAATACATTTCATGATGTCAATGTGGTTCTAAAAAGAATAGAAATGAAGTGTATTCATCAGTATTCTATGAGTGACAAAATACTGAGACACAACCACTTTCATAGAGAAAAGATTGGTTTCAGTTTATGGATTTTTACTCCATGGTCATCTAAACATGTAGACCTGGGTCTCTGGCAGAGGTTCCCAACCTATGGGTTGCGACCCCTTTGGGGCTTGAACCATTCCTTCCACAGGGTCACATAGCAGAAATCCTGCATATCAGATATTTACATTATGATTCATGAAAGTAGCAAACTGAAGTTATGAAGCAAGAATGGAAATAATGTTATGGTTGAGGGTTGCCACATGAGGAACTGTATTAAAGGGTCACAGCATTAGGAAGCTTGAGAACCACTGGTCTATAGTAAGAGATAACAATGGGATCATGCTATTACCTCATGATATCTGGGAAACAGAATATATCATGATCCCAGTATACTTTCAAAGGCACCTTCCCAGTGACCTAACTTCTTCTTCCTAGACCTCATATCCTAAAGGTTCTGTTATTTCCCAATCATGCCATAATCTAAGATCTAAGCCTTTGGTGTGTGTACTTTTGAGACGATTCAGTATTCATGTTGTAGCATCCGACTGTCTTTAAGACCAAGAAGCCAGAAATAAACTCTCCAAAACTCACAATGTTGTCCCAGGACCCCAGACAACTAAGTCATATGAATATTCACCTGTGAACTGGACATCTGTGTCTCAGCCAGTAGAACTCAGGACTCAATTCTTAATATTGAAAGGTCTTGGCCCATCATGTTATTGTGACATCACCAGAGCTAAAAAATTTAAATCATACCTGATGGCTAAAGTTATTCTCTGGAACTGAGTTCTCATTTGATCAGAAAGAGTTGAACCCTGGGCTCCTGCTCCCTACCCTACTCAATCAACTTTTCACTGTTTGTGTCGAGATGCCGTAATTTCTGAAGTGTTCTCATCCCTCATTTAACAGGTACTTCTGCCTATCTCTGGAAGAAGAGTTATTAGTGACTAAGACTTTATTCATGGATTAGGTGCTGTCCAGCTGAGTAACTCTTATATAGTGGGGTCATAGTAACTGTTTCAAACAGTTAGCATCTAAGAACTGTCCTTTAGAAGTCACTACTTAGAGGTCTGTTGATCTCTCTTGTCTTGGCCCCAAGTCTGAGTCCTGGGACAATCACCTCTTTCTACAACTAAGTCTTCCCTCTGGGTATTAGGTCATTTGTAGCATCAGTTCAACCATTGTTCCATCTTCTATATGTAGACTTCAAGTTAATGGGATTCTTTGTCCTGAAATCAGCCTTTGCCCATTACATATGAGCCTTACATGTGGCTGCCTGAATGAGCTTCCTAAAATACAACTATATACTCTTCCCTGGCCCAAACACCAGAGTTTGCTATGGCTTATGGACCAAGTCTACATTTATCTGTTCTTGCATTCAAGACTCTGGTTCACACTCCAATAGTTATCATCTTTTCCTTATTGTTGTCTACCCTGGGCTCCTTTGAGCATATTCCTTCTGAGAATACGCTCTGGTATAATCCTACTTCCTGTACAAGAAGCCGTGTTTACTTTTCTGGGAATGAACAAGTCGTACAACTATTCAAGTTATAAGCGTTCTTTGAAGTCCAATTAAGATGTTGTTGCCTGTTGTTCTGATCTTTTATTGTGGTATACACCATGTGCCCTGCAGCTTTGTTTCATACCTCTGTGACAGCCTCATCTTAGCTGCCTTGAGTTGGGACTGCGAGCCCTGTGCACTCCCAGAGGGCAGAGGCTGCGCCACTCCTCCCGTCGTCATGTCCTCGTAGCAATCTGGATGTGTGCATTGCATAAAGCAGCTCAATAAATATTTGTGGAATGAATGGGAACCATTACATAATAAGAGAGTCCAAAAATCCATCATTAAGAGTCCAAGTTTATGCTATTGCCCTTGATATATTTGTTGTTTTTTTTTTTTTTTTTTTTTTTTTTTTTTTTTTTTTTTTTTTTTTTCTAATTAACTTGTTCTCGGAATAATTTATTGATAGCACGATGAACAGGCTCAGTTTATGGTTGGTGCACATCAATTTACACATCAAATATAATTATGTCCCCTTACCCCATCCCCCACCACCCCCTCGGAACCTCCAATCCCCTCGCCCCTCCTCCTTCTTCTCTGTGGATGTAACCTCTATCTACACCCCCCCCACTCCCACCTCCCCACCCTCAAAATTCCCACCCCCTGGGGCATCCAGCCTTCATGAGGTCAAGGTTCTCTTCTTCCACCTATGCCCAGCAGGGCCCTCCACTTTTACATATTCAGCTGAAGCCCTGGATCCCCCCC